GGGGGGGGGCGTACTCTTTTGTTTTGCATACCTTTACGGTTAGACCATTGACCACGCGTCCTCGAGAGGACGGAGCATTGTTCCCACAGGACCGATCACCGATGGCCAATCGTTCCTTTCTACTTTGCCAAAGGTGGCTCAGAAATGTCTTCCCTAGTCTGCCTATCCTAACGATATCCCTTCCCGCCTTTGCAACCCACCTCCTATGCCCCAGTACAGCTACCGTCCTTTCCTCTCTATTCCATGCCTCAAACATCTCCCGGTACGTCCCATATATTTTTCCCAGCTCAGTCACGTACACTTCCCTCTCTTGTTGATCAGGGGGGGGAGAACAACGTTTTTTGCGGAAATGTCGGAAATGATTGCAGTGTTTCGTCGAATCGGGTGGTGGGGGTCTACACACATGACAGGCGTTTTGGGTTGCCGCCGACCGCGCTGCAGCGGAACGGTATGTAAGAAAACCTCAACGTTCACGTGACCAACATATAGGGTAACATGTGTCATGTTGTGTCATGCGTCCTTTCAGGGAGAACGAGAAGCGCAAGAAGGAAGAAGCGGAGCTGGAGACACCCTGGGATGACATCGGGAGCGCGTTTACGGAGGTCCACAACATGCCCGTGGGATCGGACGATGATGACGTCGACCTCGACAGCATGGTCGTTTAGTGGGGTGTTTGATCATCATCGGATAGTCGCGTTTAGTCGAGAAGAGCATGTTGTATCTTGTGGTTCGCCGGTAGCCATTTTGGTCTAGTCCTTTCGGTTTGGGGGAAACGGCGTCGTGAGAAGTTGGTAGATCGTATTGCTCGCCGGCAACGGCAAAAGATAGGTTGATGCATCATACTTCGTACTGTCCTGTCGCTGGCCAGTAACCAAGAGGTCTGGTTAACTACTGGGATTTGATCGATTAATCCTGCTTCCGGAATTACCGCGCTGTCGCTGAAAGAAGAATGGTTTGGCTCTTCCAGACCGCTCTCTGGAGAGGACTACAGCAGTGTTCACATGCGATTCGTCGGGAATGTGTGGTATCCACATGTTGCACTGGCGTTGTCGTTCGTTCCGATGCTTTGCCTGGACGTTGGGTTCTTCCGACCGTATTTAAGGGGAGGATGTCCTTTTTTGCGATAACGCCGCCGACACCGCTTGGGTGAAGTGAAGTTTGCTCAAAAACCTCGCCCTTTCCCGTAACACGCGCAAGGTTGGTGTTGTGTTTTTCACAACGTGCGACTTCCTTGCCGTCCTTCCTCCGATAGCTGTCTTCGGCAAGTCACACACTGGGACTAGTCGTGGCTTCCGATGGGCAACGAAGGCAGCATATTTCTCATGTGGTGGGCATTTCTTGAACAACATCGCAACACGGATCCACCAACTCCATCGTTTTCAATTTTCAACACCCTGCCCCATACAGACCAGATGCCGTATTCCGCACATTGCCAACCCTCTCAGATCGATCGAGCCGAGCCTAGCCTAGCAGCGACGGCCGCTTCACACATCGATAATTAAAAAAAAAAAAAACAATCCCACGCCCACGCCAGATTCGACAAAAACAACCAACAACAAAAACGCAACAACAACGCGTACTAGTAAAGACAAGTCACAAGAAAGTAACAAAAGAACAAACCTACACATGGCAGATAATGATACACCAGCGCGTTCGCATCTTCGAGTTCGAGGGCATGAACGTGACGTTACACGCGACGCAACGTCCTCCCCTCCCCTCCCCTCTCAGCGCAATACAACTTTCCCCTTGCGTGCCCTGTGGCAAGTAGCTACACGGCGCTACATGCGTTTGAAGACACGACGTTGTCCCTCGACGCCGATTCAAGGGCGCTTGAATCCCCCGCGCACACACGCAACAAACTTGAAGTCGACATTTTCTTTTTTCGTCGATCAAACGAGCATCCGCGAAGAAGAGCGAATTCCGTTTCGATGTACGTCCCCGTTCGAAGATTCAAAGTTGTTTCAAGAGGACACCGCGGCAGTGGCCTTATTAATTTTCCTTTTTTGCCGTGTATCCCAAGGGATCCTTCCATGCACCTACTACTACAGCTTTTCGGATACCCAACAAGAATAACAACTAGCTGCCCTATTTATCACCCTTGCATTCTCATATGACATTGCCGAGAGGTGCTGCCACGGAGTTCGAAAATGCAACAGCTGTTGGCAACTGGGTTCCTGCTTAGTTTTGTACGATGTTTGCGTCTCTGCCTCTCCTCTTTTCTTCTCTCATCGCAGCAGTACCACAGAGATCAGGGGTGTCCTTTCTTGCCGCTGTTTATGCCACCCCCCCTATATGTTTTTTAATTATACCACCTCAATCGAAACACTCGTTACCATCACCCCCCCGCCCCCCCCCATTACCCCTATCCCGCAACTCCCAACTCTCGCACACACAGAAACTAGGCTAATGCTCGACCCCCCCCCTGCCCCCTACCTCACCGACATGCACACATCTACCTTCGTGGTGTCAACCCTCCCCACTAACCTCTTGACAGCGAGGAGAAGGCTTTACGGCACAACGCTGCTACGGCAAGCGCAACAAAAAGACAGATGCAAGCTGGACGCACTCACGTTCGGTCGTTTCCACGCACTGCTACTACGCGGCAAACAACGCCAACGCCCACCAACAAACAGAAAAATAACACGACTCCACTTCCATTTCGGTGCTGCCGATAGCACACAGAGTCGACGCACACGCAACCCACGCACGCGCGTGTTTTGCGTGACCCATGCAAAACGATGTAACAGAAAGATGAGAAACTCCGAGAGAAACGAGATGCCTCTTTGCAGCCGAAACTCACCCACGGCATGCGACACAAGCCGTTAGTAACCAACGAGGCTACGGGACTGCGTGCTGCTGCTGCACTGCCGTTGTTGAGATATTGGCGCCTGCCTCCTCCTCTGCTCAGCTCTCGTTCGCCCGAGCCAACGAGTCAGGACTGTTTTCCCATCATGGAAGGATCCAACATTTTTGTTTTTTCAAGCAGGCATGACTCGGCATGGTTGGGGCTTAAACACAGATGAACGCTAGAGACTGCGGAACAACCCACGTCATACTTTTTCATTGCCATCTCCTCATGATAAGAACAATGATGCCTGGAGCACCGGCCCTCACGCTGCACTGCGGCCTTGCCCCCATTCACTCCCAAATAGACCACACCAAACATTAGTCCCGAAGTCATGACTCTCATACTTCACAGCTGCGGCGCCCGGACGGTGGTCACCAACGCTACATGTTCATAACCAAGTTAAGTAGGCAGATTTCCGAAACGTATTCTCGAGCTTCTCCTCGTCACGACAACAACAACAACATTAACAACAACAACAAAGGCACCACTACCGGACTCCCTCCCGCTAAACCTCCGTCGGCAAGGGAAATCATCACACACACACACCACGCCACTTCTTTTCTAGACGCCGTCCAAGACCGCAGTCGCCCCTCTCCACCCATCACCCCGATCGAGCCACAGTCCTATAACCGCCCCTGCCACCACTTCTCTCGTCTACGCACGCCCCGCGTACACTCTAGAAACGCAGCGCGTACACCGTAGGAGACGGCGCAGACGTCCACCTACCCACCCACCCGATCGCCTAACTGCTCAAGCGGAACAAAAACTATAGTCGGAAAACGTGCGACATTTTTTTCTTGTTCCTCTTCCACGGGACAAACAATTAAGTAACGTGGAACGTTCCGAGGCCCACCGTCACCGGCTGAATGGATAGTTAAAAAATATTTATCATGGTTTCTCAGTGCGCCAGCTCCGTCTGCCGCTCGCTTGTCTCGTGGTTCCAGTCGGCAAGGACCGGGTGCTTGCAGCGAGCGGAGAGCGGGACGACGTCTTCGTCCACACGGGTGCCCTGGAGGTCCGCAACTGCGATACCGGCCTGTGAGTGCGCCGAGGGACATGACAAAATGTTGGTGTCAGTTTCGGCGTGGCGGGTGGTAAAAGTACATCCTGTTGGCAGGTGCGTCTGCTGTGTTGTGTACTCCAATGTGTTACCTCCTATGTGTGTTCATGCCACTTTATTTTGGCGCAAGTCTACACGCCGTTTGGCCGGTACATTTTTGACCGCATCAACTGCGGACACGCAGGAGGAAGGCAGGTCACCCACCGACGCTTTTTTTCTTGAAAAGGAGAAAAAAGACAAGAAAATGACCGAAAAATCGGGCAGTTTCAAAGCGGGTTCGCAATGCCGACGAAAGTGGACAAAGGGCCGACGCAGACGGTAACAAAAGCCGACAGTACCGAAAAAATCATGGCAGAGACACGTCACGGACTAGAGAGCGTGAGACTCGAGGGGACACAAGGGCAGGTGCCTTGATGAGCGGAACAAACAGAGCTTCGCGCGACACAACACAAAATCAACGTCCTAATAGCGAGAACGATGCAGCATCCGCAGCATCTGCAGCCGACAGACCCCTTGCCCACCTGCATCGGTATCGGCTGCTGCGGTAGCGTGGGGTCAGCCACCCCCACCGTCTGCATCACGTCGGTGTAAACGGAGTTGCACATAATATCCAGGCTCAGCGCGGACTGAGGAAACGGAGGTGACATAGGGAAAGTAACCACAGGGGGTAGAGGTTGATATATCGCTTGAAATCATCTCAAAGCTCGCCATCGAACGGGTCTGCAATCGGCGAAAAAAATGCAACACCTAGATAGAAAGGGCACGGATATTTGAGTCTATGCGCTCCTTGGGAGGAAGACGACGTTACAAAATCGGCGAAAAAAACGGAACACCTAGATAGAAAGGACACGGATATTTGAGTCGATGCGCTCCTTGGGAGGAAGCCGACGTTACCCACGTAGGTGTAAACGGAGTTGCACATAATATCCAGGCTCAGCGCGGACTGAGGAAACGGAGGTGACATAGGGAAAGTAACCACAGGGGGTAGGGGTTGATATATCGCTTGAAATCATCTCAAAGCTCGCCATCGAACGGGTCCGCAATCGGCGAAAAAAACGGAACACCTAGAAAGAAAGGGCACGGATATTTGAGTCGATGCGCTCCTTGGGAGGAAGACGACGTTACAAAATCGGTGAAAAAACGGAACACCTAGATAAAAAGGACACGGATATTTGAGTCGATGCGCTCCTTGGGAGGAAGCCGTAGTTACCCACGTCGGTGTAAACGGAGTTGCACATAATATCCAGGCTCAGCGCGGACTGAGGAAACGGAGGTGACATAGGGAAAGTAACCACAGGGGGAAGGGGTTGATATATCGCTTGAAATCATCCCAAAGCTCGCCATTGAACGGGTCTGCAATCGGCGAAAAAAACGGAACACCTAGAAAGAAAGGACACGGATATTTGAGTCTATGCGCTCCTTGGGAGGAAGACGACGTTACCCGCGGTGGTGCTTTCCTTCCCACAGATTCTCAGCATGCCCGAGCAGACATGACCAGCCAAAAAGGCTCCCCGCTTCGGTCAAGAAACTACAGCTGTTGCTTGGTCGAGGGAGGGGGGGGGGGNGGGGGGGGGGGGGGGGGGGGGGGGGGGGGGGGTCGCGAACGTCCCCCGAGAAACCTCTGAGCCTGGAATGTTCTTAAAAACTCTCTTGATGGGAGTAGGCTAATCCCCACGCAAGCCTCAACGGCAAAGAAAGAGAAAAGGCGATCGTAGGACCCCCAAGAGAGGTGTAACAAAAAGGAACGCCGCACCGGCGGCGGTACATTATGTATGTATGCCACCTTAGGCCCATTTACATTTACATTTACCATTGCACATGCCGTACACGTATATAGCTTCAATACCTGGAAGGGGTCTTCGATAAGGAGGCCGATTTCTTGGATGCCGAAGAGGGCCCAAGTTGCCAGGAATACCACAGGAGCAGTGGCCATGCCCATCTCTCCAACTGTCACATGAGGCGGAGGGGGGGGGGGGGGAGACGAGAAGTGACAGCAACGACAAATATCTGTAGCCTTGGCGAGGAACAGCAGTACCGGCATATAGCAGACGCGATAGCCTTAAAACCGGTTTCAAAATCGCCAGCCCGTTTGTGCAATAGCATGGAGAGTCGGATGTCTCATGTGTGATCTGTCGCTTGTGGACACTGTTTGCAGTCTGGACATGACAATAAAAAAAACAACCTCACCCAGTTTTTCCTCTTCCGTACCATACAATCCAACGGGACGGACGGACTGACCGTTCATGGCAATCAAGGGTGTTTACCGATATACTCCCGTAGAATACAAAGATCAACGGCTACGAGCCAAATAGGGCAACAGAACAGGCAATCGCAGGGTGAACTCACCTATCACGAGTGGCAGGAGGAAGCACCAGATGGTAAGGAACCGACTCGTGTGACGCACGTAGTGGAGGGGCACCGGGGTCTGCACGAGCCGCTCGCACCCCCCTATCGTGGACCCGAGCTTGTTGCACATGGACAGGATCGCCAGGCGTTCGCGAGAGGACCAGTCTTCGCATCTGTACGGCACGGACTTGATCTGCACGTGTCGCACAGCGAAAGCGGAGTTGTAACCGTTAGTGAGGAGCGCTATGCATGCAGGTATGCATACAAAACCGGATCCCGCGTGTGAAGGAGGCATTTTCAAATGGAAACCCGAAACACTTCACAACCCAACCTCCGAATTATCTCCAAGCCCTGTTCGCCGCTATGCTGGGGCGGGGTCCCTTAGTTTCAAATCCTAGGTTGACAAACGCCGACGTTGCACACTTCTGTCGGGTGCACTCAGAAAGAGCAGGAGACGTGAAGAGGGGAGTCGCCTGCCAACGATACCAACCATATCTGCCTGTCTTCTGTCTTTCTCTCTCTCTCTCTCTCTCTCTCTCTCTCTCTCTCTCTCTCTCTCGTTTCCGCGCAGCCCCTGGGAACTCTNCTCTCTCTCTCTCTCTCTCTCTCTCTCTCTCTCTCTCTGTCTCTCTCTCTCTCTCTCTCTCTCTCTTTCTCTCCCTTCCTTTCTCACCTCACGGGAGATCATGTTGACAACCTTGAGGGGGCGGTTGCAGTTGGTCGTCATAAGATCTCTAACCTCTTCCGGCCGAAGGAGGTCCTCCCACACTCGCGGCAGCTTGTACCCTTGAAGGTGTTCCTGCAAAACACGTCGCATGTAAAGCAGAGACGGTGGGGTACTCTTATGTTTTGTGTGTGTGTGGGGAGTCATTCAGTAGGCATTGGCAGATCAAACCTCCCGGTCCACAACACGCGCTTACACGGGGACAAATTAGAAAAGCCCATGGTTTGTTCTGAACGGGGATAGTTTCCGCAGAAATTCGGCAAGCCTCGTGGTTTTGCGCCTGTGCAGCGTCCACCCCAGGGTTGGGATGACCTTCACCTTCACAGGCAAGGCACACAAAAAAAATCAACATGGGGGGGGTGTCGGCCTCGACCTGTACACGTAGTGGCCGCAAGCTGGTCGACGTGGACACAGCCACACACCTGAAGGATGACAGCGTGGCAGGCCAAGAGGTTGGCAATGCGCTGGACTAATCGCCTCCCGAACACTGGAGCATGCAAGAAAAAAAGCACCGACAGGCCGCAAAACGTCAGATGTACATACAAGTATGGCAGACCTCACGATAGCACGTTCGATGACAATCGCGGGGAAAAGCCATCTGTTGAAACGAACACCTTTGCGGACCGGAGGTCTTCGGTGGAGTAAGGCGAGACCACGACACCAAGTGGATTCTGTACAGCACGAGCGACGACAGTGGCAACCCACGACGGACAGATGGAGCTATGCATACATGCTCTTGTACCGCAGCCCAACACGGCAGTGCACACGGTTTGCTCATCATGCGTACCGTCTTCATAGAGGACGCTCATCCGGGCGATGTCTCTCGACACGTTCAGCACCTCCTCCCACAGCTTGCGCCCTTCCTGAAACCGCTGGTACGCCGCGTTGGTGCGAAAAACCAGGAGCAGCCCCAGAGCGGAACCGAGCAGAGTGTGCGGCTGCAGAGATAGCGAACAACGGCCACGTATCGTACAGCACCGAAGGACACGTGCAGGGAGGAGCGTTCCGGGTAAGTCTCGGAAGCCTGCTGTCGGTGGAGCAGTAATGGAGAGGTGACGTTCGGAGACAGCGTCGAACAAACTCAAGTAGCAAACTTGCCCCCCTCAAAAAATAAACAAATATTCATATGTAGTCTTGATTTAAAGCACCCATACAGCGTCGAACAAACTCAAGTAGCAAACTTGCCCCCTCAAAAAATAAATAAATATTCATATGTAGTCTTGATTTAAAGGACCCATACATATTTATTCGTCCTTACATAAGAGGAAACGGAAAACACAGTCTACCACCGTGAAACGATGAGATTCTCTACTTGTACAGCAGATCCCCTTGAAGCAATAAAAAAAATTGCACACAAAACATAGCTTTGAAAACTTTGATCACCTCGATGCTGCACACCCATCACCTTAATGCTCATAGAGTGGACACCACCCAACCCAGCGTGCACCAAGGAAACCGCGGTCGCCCAGAAGGTCTGGACCAGCAGCGGGTGCTTGATTCGGTGCAGGATCACGCTTGTGGGCAGCGTGCGGAGGTTGTGCCACCATGCGGACGACGAATATCTCTCGGCTGACATCGAGAAAGGGGGGCGGGGAGGAGAGCATGCGATGGTTTGAGAATTACAAGGATGAGACTGGGAAGGGAATGTTCGATGCGAAGCGGGGTGCAGGGGGAGAGGGCAGACAATGCTTTGGCAACTCAAGGGTAAAACAGGGAAGGGAATATTTGATGCGGAGAGTGGGGCAGGGGGGGGAGAGCAGACGATAATTTGAGGATGACAAGGATAAAACAGGGGAGGAGAATGTTCTATGCGGTCGACATACCTTCAAGTACGAACGCGACAACACAAAACACTCTCAGCACAAAAAAATGATGACGTACGCTACGCATGCCAAGTCGCAAGCCCTGTAGTTGAAGCCATCAAGCCAGCCCACGGGGAAAACCAAAACGACAAGATACAACGAAACGGTGTAAGGAGAACGCGATGTTGTAAAATGAATCTAAGATCCTTACCCCCCGTGGACGAATGTTCCAATGGAATGTTCGACGCACAACCGCCACTATACATTCTATTCGAGGGGCTGCGAGGGCCGGCCGATCGCCTACATACCCGCATGCCGCTGTTTGTACCTATTGAACGGATGCTATACTCCTAGACTGTGCTACGGCATAGACTGCAATGGAAAGCCGCGTCGCATGTACGGTATCTGCTGTAGCTTACATCCTTGAATTATTGGCGAGATGCATCTTCAAAAAATACGGGTGATGTGTGCGGCCGACCTCATCCTGACTACTGGGTGAAGATCGATCGATCGTGACTGTTCCAGTGATATGATGAGCAACCGACGGCTCTACCCATACGTGCACGAACACAGAGTAACGCAGGCCCCAACGCCTCTCAGTGCGGATCACGCCGATACTTCCAAAAGAGTGCGTCCCTGCATGTGGCATCTGCCTTAACATTGAACTGCTACCTTTCATGTACGTACTTTATGCGTCACAACAAGGATTGATGCTTTCGGTCCAACAAAATAACGAGGGCTTCGAAAGGTACACTGTAATGCTCTCCCCGCTGCCGACCTTACTCTGCCGAAGGGCAACGGTACGCTTGTTCAAGTCGAACGGAGAGCAGTTTTGACGTCACCTGCTGCTGCTGAAACTGTCGAGCAACCGCGCCCCGAGAAGCGTTGAACTACTGCTGTACATGCGCATATACTCTGTATGTAGCTGCGCTTGTAGAACATGCTACGTGTGCCATGCGAAAGATTGGTCAAACATCACCATGTGGACAAAAACACATCGCGCGTGCGAAGACCCTTTCCTCTTGGGGGCTATTTTCAGTATTGTACAGTACAGGTGGAACGCGTTCATAGCAGCAGTTCTGTTTCGCTGCAGAGACCTACAGCCAGTTCAAGTGCAGGTCCACATTGCCCTCAAACGCAACAAACAAGCCAGCGCGTCGACACGTGACAGCAGTCCAACAGTGACAATCCAACGGTCCTGGAATCTTGAGCGCGATCATCATTCGTGACGCATTGCCCGACAGCGAATAGAGGCCACCGAGGCGCCATCAACTCAGGCAGGCCAGGAAACAAGACAAGAACAGCACTGCTGTGGTGCGCTCCGGCAGTATTACAGCAGTAACGGGGAGCATCATGCCAGTGATCAACTTTTAACCACGTCGACATGTACGGACCAGCAGACGATATGCGGTACATCTGGCTCCTGCTGTGAATCATTTTTTTGCACAATATCGGCAGCAGCCATCATCGCAACGAGAAAAAGCAAGACAACACCGAAATGGACGCCGACAGCACCCACCTTGAGGGATCGTAAGCGTTCTCCCCTCGAAGCCACTCCTGAAGGTAACCTCGTCGTGCCCCCGGGCATCCGGCGGGGCCCTGAACTTGTCCCACACCCCGGCGTTGAGCTTGTCCTTGACCTCGCGGGCCTGGACATGTCCCCGCCGCCAAACTTTCCGAACCCTTGCCCTCTTCTTTCCCCCAGCAGATTCCATCGCCATCGTCGGCGTTGATGCATCACACGCGCACGGCGACATGAGCTTGGAGGAGCCTGATGGCTTCCCGCAGAGCACGGCGCTCTGCGCTCCTCCTCCGACGAACGTGGAAGGGGTGAAGCTCGAGGCTGGGCTGGTACTGCACATGGCGACCGCAACCACGGCAGCTCGGCGGCATATTCTCGCCATCTTCGTGGCTCGCTCTCGCTCTCCGTCTCTCTCTCCGTTCTTCCTCTCGCTCTCTTGCCTAGGCTCAAGACACTTCGCCGGCACCTGCAGAGATACTCCCTGTCGCCCTTGCTTGCCTAATTACTTCGCCTCTGGTGTTTTATTGACGAGGGTTGTTCGAGGAGGGCGTTCACCAGCTAGCACCAGCGCAGACCGGGCGTCCAGTGAATCTGCGATTCGTGAGACGTTGATTCGCGGACGTGGCCGCGTTATTTCTTGGTTGCACCGCATTTTGGTTTGACAAGTAACGGGCAGGTGGTAACTAACGATCGTGAGAGCGGATGGAAACGGGTAACCCTGAATCCTTACAAATACTCCTTCCTATCGCCGGTAACTTTGTAACTGCTGCCATGTGCGTGGCAACTCAAATCATAACAGCAGACAACCTGGCTTAACCATCAGAGCGGTAATGAACCGCGATAAACCGGGGGCGCGGCGCAGACAGACGGGGTCATCGTGTTTGAGGGCCTCACTGCTCCACGTAAAAAGACGAACTTTCTCCAAACTGGTCATCAACGAGATGATGAGTTGCTGCTGCTGCTTTACAGCACACCTGTCTGACAATACGTGCAGCCTCTGTGGTTGGCGAGGGGGGGGGAGGATATTTCGACCCAGAAGACTTTCTCCTTGCGCCCCTTTACCCTATCGTATCACGGCAGGCCGATGCTATTCGAGGAGCACACGCGCAGTGGTAATCTCGTAAATCTCTGTGTCTTGGGTGTCGGTGTGTTTATTTTTGGCCGTGGCACGGCACCACCAAAACTTTATCGTTCGGCCTCACCATGGGTCCCACGATAGCCCTGCAACGCAGCAACAGATTCGTACATGTCTTTTGTCAGTTGCAGTGTTGTGGGGGCAGATCCGTCAGTGTGTCCCTGGCGGTGTTGAAAGAAGGAGTCATCCGCCGCAAGGGAGTCTGCCTGCAAGAAAATAGGAAGCAGTGTTCGCTATGTACCCTCGTCAGGTGTTCAGATGTTCGGCGCGATGCGGCGGGATTTTTTGATGTGTTCGCCGCCGCAGGCGCTGCCAGCCCGCTGTTGTGCACTGTGCGTGCATCGACCACGCACTCCTCCAGGTGCTTGTGTCTCGATCGGAACTTTTTAGCGGGAGGTCCAGCTGGTGGGGTCAATGTTGTTGTTGTTGTCTTCACATTAAAAACCATCCCGGTCTCTCTATCCAGTACCTCTTTCTGTCTCAATCTCTCCGTACTAATCCATCACTTGACTCGGCCAATTTCCGTGGTCACAGGCTACTGACATACGGTTTAATGTGAAGACAAACAAAAAAACAAACAACAGGCTAACGTACCTAGAAAAGGTATACCAAAATAAAATGGACCCCAAGGGTCAGCAGAGCGATAAAATACAAGAAAACAAAATATATATAACGTTCGTTATTTATGTACTCAGTGGGGTAGCTAGCGGTGATACGTTCGCCACCAACCGTTCGTGGTACCACCACCAAACTGTGCCGTTTCGGGCGAATATAACGATGAGATTGTTGTTGTTGTTAGGCCTGTCCTCCATCGGCCGTTTTTTTTTCCTTTTTCGGCCGCTTTTTTTTCTCTTTCGGCCGCTTTTTTTCCTTTTTCGGCCGCCCCAATTTTTTTCGGCCACCCCAATTTTTTTTTCGGCCACCCCATTTTTTTTTTCGGCCACCCCAATTTTTTTTTCGGCCACCCCAATGTGTGCCCGTACTAGCCCGTACAGGTACCCTTTTAACACCCTCTCGTACATCCTATGCTTGTTGCGCAAGATGGATCGGGGCTCGTCCATTTATCTGTGTTCTTTGGAAGTAAATAACTCTGTGTCTAGTCGCAGTAATGCACCGGTTTATCACTAGTCATCATTGAGAAAAAGAGTACTATTTCATACCATACGCCTCCGAAGCCTACTCTTTCGTGTTTCATCTCTGCGACCTGCGAGCTATGGGCGAGCTGGAAGCTGGAAGTTTTTTGTGTTTATTTTTTTTTCAAGTGCGGAGACGCGGAGACCACCGCGCAAGTGAAAAAATGTTCGAAAAGGGTAGGTAGGTACGTAGGACTCCCCACAACATTGAATTTATGGGGGGGGGAGGGGGGTGGCCCATTGAAATCGGACATTGGCCGTGGCCGATTTGGAATCGGCCGTAGCCGACTAGGAATCGGCCGTAGCCGACTGACATTCGGCTATCCCCTGGCCAAAATCGGCTGCTTTGTTTGCAAAATCGGCCACTTTGTTTGCAAAATCGGCCACTTTGTTTGCAAAATCGGCCGTTTTTTTTTGCGGCCGTTTTCCGGCCGAATTGTTCAGAAATCGGCTCTTTCGGCCGCGGCCGATCGAGGACAGGTCTAGTTGTTGTCGTTGTCTTCACATTAAAAACAGTTCCGATCTCTCTCTACCCAGTACCTTCGTATGTCCGTACTGATCTAGCGCTCGACGCGGTCGATTCCCGTGGTCACAGGGTAGGTCCGTGTGGTTTGTACCCTATTTTTGTTTTGTTCCCCGCGGCGTCATATGTGCCGGATTTTGAGACCACGGGCTCCCCACTTTTTGTGGACCATAGAGCTAATGTGAGAAACAACAATAACAACGAACAAGGTTAATTAACTTACCCTAAAAAAGGTATAGACTACTCAAAATAAACTGGCCCCGAGGTGTCCGCCAGTCAATAGAAATCAACGACAGACATTCTGGAGTCCTCCACTCCCTCTGCCCGCTATGGGAGGTAACAACTGAGACTAGGAGTCATCACAACGGGCCGGAGAGAAAGAGGTACAGCCCCTTGGTTCAATCATGGTAGTCACAGCGCAAGCAGAGACAAGGCCATCTGGCACAGAAAAAAGAGAGAAAAAAAATGCGAGAAAAGGAGAAAACAGAGAAAAAGAGAAAAAAAATAAAAGGAAGCAGTAAGGAATGTGGGGGTCAGGATATGGAGATTCAGGGAGCACAGATACACGTACATAAAGAGTAGGATCTGAGGGAACATGTGATAATAGATTACTGTTCTCCAAGGGTCCCCAACTCTTACGACCCCCAACGGCTGCGAAGGTTGATGGATCTTTAGAAGAATGGGAAAAGAAGTCCACGAAGGCTCGCCCACTCTCCGCACCACCCTAGCTTGACTGAGTTCGCTCGGTCACGCTTGGCATCCCTCGCCACATTGCACCAAAGGAAATAGCTAACCTCCAGTGGCAGGACATAGCCACCAAAAAACCCGGACTCTCCGCTCACCCAGAGTAGAGGGCATCCATATTGGCGTTCGNATGTGATAATAGATTACTGTTCTCCAAGGGTCCCCAACTCTTACGACCCCCAACGGCTGCGAAGGTTGATGGATCTTTAGAAGAATGGGAAAAGAAGTCCACGAAGGCTCGCCCACTCTCCGCACCACCCTAGCTTGACTGAGTTCGCTCGGTCACGCTTGGCATCCCTCGCCACATTGCACCAAAGGAAATAGCTAACCTCCAGTGGCAGGACATAGCCACCAAAAAACCCGGACTCTCCGCTCACCCAGAGTAGAGGGCATCCATATTGGCGTTCGACGAAGCGTTCTATCTTTGCAACCCACGTTGTTGTTGTTTCTCACATTATTAGCTCTGTAGTCCACAAAAAATGGGGAGCCCGTGGTCCCAAAACCCGGCACATACGACGCCGCGGGGAAACAAAACAAAAATAGGGTGCAAGCCACTCGGGAAAAGAAAACAAAATGATAGAAAGAAAAGAACAGGTATCGCACCGACCTTTCGAGAAAAGAGCCTTCGGAAACCNCACTCGGAAAAAGAAAACAAAATGATAGAAAGAAAAGAACAGGTATCGCACCGACCTTTCGAGAAAAGAGCCTTCGGAAACCGATCAAAATAAAACAAAAACAACAAAAAGGGAGGACGCTTCCCATACCCGCCCAAAGAAAAAATCAAAGGGTAACATACCAGCACCAGGCACTACGCACCAGGGCATGGGAGTAACGGAGCAAACAGGACAAAGAGGCGGCAGATGGGCAGACAGCCAGACGTACAAAAACAAAGGCAACAGCAATGGCGAGATCAAGGTACCCAACACAGCAGAGTAGGCAGGGAGGTCATGAAAGAAAAAAGAAACACAGCACAGAGGCCGAAGGCAATACAAAGGACGTACATAAAGGAGTATAGCATACAGCAGGGAGGGAAACAGGGCGCAACAACATCAGCCGGGTACATAGTTCGCCACAAGCGCTGCCTCGGCCGCCCTACTCGCTTCTACAGCAGTGCCCGGTCGCCGTTTCTTCCCCCCCACCACCGCTTCGCCGACTCTCTTTCGCTTCGGTCCTGAGATGGCCGTACTCTCTGCTTCTGCTTCCCTCGCGCGCTGGCGCTTCGCGGACGCTTCCGCCTCCTGCCTGTGCCATTTCCTCATGAGCCATGCCGCCCCGTCCTCGACCTTGTTGTACCACACCTCCGGGTCCGTGGCGCTCTCTTTCCATTTACCCCCTTCCTTTTCGTCTCCCATGTTGAAGGCCACGAGGTCCTCTCCTAGACGAGACACCCAGTCGCTCTCCTGCCCGCCCCGGTATCCCACGCCCCCCGCCATCGCTCCTATCAGCATGCGCTTGGGGAGGCGGCTGTCCTCCATGCGCATAACGAAGCCCGCGAAACACAGTCTCCGTTTGCGCACGGTGGCCTCGATGGTTTCCTCGCAGCCTGCCTGGATGAGGGCCTGGGCATAGGACAGGGGGCGGTCTGAGCGTTTCCGCTTGCTCCAGCCGATGCACCGTGTGAGGAACTGGCGGTGGGTCCCATTGAGCTTCGTGTAGTGCTCCGCTGTTAGACTCCACGAGGCGCAACCATACAGGAGAGTCTCCACCACTTCAGCCTGGAGTAGCCGGATCTTGAGCTGGCGGTTGGCCCGTCGCCTGTCGTACATCGAAGCACTGTTCCGGCGGTAGCACTTCCACGCTCGGCAGCTGCGGCTCGTGATCTCCCGGTCGGCCTTCCCGTCCGCGGAGATGGTACGTCCGAGGTACACAAACCGATCTGTCTGCTTGTACGTCTGGCCGGCGGCGCTGACCGTGAACGGGTGTTCCTCGATCCCTTTTGGCAGCATGCACATGATCTCTGTCTTTGGCTCCGACACCATCAGTCCGAACAGGCCGGCCACGCGCACGATGACCGACATCATCTTCTCGAGACTCTCCGGCGAGCGCGAGACGATGGCCGCGTCGTCAGCGTAGAGCATGGCCCACAAGGCCTCCGCGTCCGTCACCACCGTCGTCTTCCTCCCCGCCGACCTGCCCTTCTTGCCCGTGTACTCCACTTATGTCCCGATCTTGACCATGTCCGCCGTCACCTTGGGGTCCTTGTCGAACTCGGTCACGGCGACCATGAGCATTGCCGCAAAGAACAAGTTGAACAGTAGCGGGGCCAGGTTGCATCCCTGTCGGAGGCCTTGGCCCACGTCGAACCATTCCGAGTACTGCCC